GCATGGATTTTGAATGTTTATCCTGTGCTTGCGTGAATTTCCTCCGGGTACTCCAGCTTCCTCGCACACTCCTAAGACATGCTGAAAGGTACATTGGCTCCTGTCTAACTTTGCCCTGTATGTATGTGATATAGGGATCTTAGTTTGTAAGCTTCTCAGAGGCAGGGACTGATGTGAATGTGCAGTATGTAAAGTGCTGCGAAATTATCGGCACTACCGTGTTTCTCCGACAATAAGCCACTGTCTTATATTTTTTTTGGCTTGAAAAAAAACACACTAGGTCTTATTTTCGGGGTAGGTCTTATTTTTTTGTAACGTACAACAATCCACACTTATTCATGTACAACAGTCTACATATATTCATGTACAAAAATATACCGTACATTTATTCAAATACAGTCATGTCTTCTTCTGGAACATCGTCATAACTCTCCAAATCCTGCATTCTGGCCTGATTTTCTTGTGACTCCATTTCCTGTAGAATCATTGACCCCAATCTCTCATGTCTAGCAATAGAGCTCTCCTTAAATGAACACTTCAAGAGCAATTTGGTAATCAATCGCTGGCCAGAATGAGCGAAGCGCGCTTTTGCTATCGACTCCTCGATTTGGTATTACTCCGCCTGCGACAGGAGCCGGCGCTATAGAGTAAGCATCAGCTTATGCGGCTCTGCTCCCTCCGCTGCCACTTCGCTTCCTCTAGCGCTGGCTTCGTTGGCACCGCTGATTCTCTCTCGTGGCTCTTGAAGTTCCCCCTTATGCCCCCACCGGCCCTGGGAAAGGTCACAACTAGGTCTTATTTTTGGGGTAGGTCTTATTTTCAGGGAAACACGGTACATAAATACCTGTAATAAGTAATTAAGTAAATATTGTCGGGATTGTCCTTTGCTGCAGCGTGGCTCGGTGCTATCAGCATATAGAGAGCAGAAGCCCGCTATATGCTGAGGTTGGGTCACAGAAGTACATTATTAAATCTACTCCTGTGACCCAAAAGAGAAGTAAAGCCAAAAAAAAAATCACTGGAAGTTGAAAGCAAACTATTCATGAACTAACCCCCTTACCACTGCAATCTCCAAAGTCCCAAAATGCCATGAAGGAAACATTTACTGCAAGAAATGTCTAGGCTTTTAGTAGTGGTCTGTTCTGTGAAAGTACTAGCTGCCTAGCTGTTATAAAAGCTTTAGTACGTATTAAGTCTGCAGAGCAGGAGCGGCTTGCAGCAGGACATTTCTCTAAGCACAGGTTTATTTTAATACGGTTTTTCTTTTAACAAGGAATCAGCATTGGTTATAACTGTTGTTCAGCACCTCAGGACATGTGACAACACACGATTTCACAATTTAGGAGAAGCAAATGGTACAGGTTTTAAAAACATACGGTTCTCGTCCAGATAAGCCTTTCCAGGAGCTGTCTGCCCACTGCCCCCCTCCATTCAGTAAATGATTTACACAGAGGTGCCACAAGAGTATTTGCTTAACAAACCCCCAAGCTGTAGATAGGACTCTAGTTAATCAGAGCATTCTTTCACATTGCAATTCCAATGGTCACCCTAAAACAAAACTCCAGGGAAAACTCATTTTTAACCCCTGCAGTGGGGCTACCCGCACACTGTAAGGGTTATCTGCTTATTTTGGTCCAGGGCTGAAAATAACAGCCTCCCTCCTCCTGCAGCGATGGAATGTCCCTCTGCGTCCTCACGTTCTACACACAATGTATGGAACTTGATGGGTTACGGGACTTTAGACCGATACAGCGGAGGGGGCAAGAGGCCCCAGGGACCAGTCTAAGAGGAGGCCATCTCAGAGGATCAGGTGAATATAACTTTCTTATTTTCCTCCTTAGATGCAAACAAGCACAGGACCTTTGGATACAACCATAGGATTCAAGAAGCAAAATGTGAAAAGTCTAGACTGAAAAATGTGTCACATTACTGCCATAGATTTTGTTCTTGTCAAATAACAAACCCACATCCTGTAAATCGTGCCAGAGGGAATCATGCTCGGTAAATGTGCCCAAATAAATGAGGGGCAGTCGCATGATTCAGCATGATTCATGTCTGCATGTCAGTTATTGGAGAAAATAGCACCGAGACACGGTATAAAAAACTTAGTCCAACCAACAATTGTTTTCCTTCATAAGCCAGAGCAAGAGATAAGCAGTGTTGTTTCTGCAAGAGCTTCCCACATCCTCTCAGCACAGGCTAAAGGCCAACACTCTGCCAAACCCATTCATGTTTAGGAGCCCATCAATAGACACAGACACCTAAGATGGTGCCTGCACATGCAACTGCTCCCTAGCATCTACAGGTGAAACTCGAATAATTAGAATATCGTGCAAAGTTCATTTATTTCACTAATGCAACTTAAAAGGTGAAACTCATATATGAGATAGACTCATTACATGCAAAGCAAGATAGTTCAAGCCGTGATTTGTCATAATTGTGATGATTATGGCTTACAGCTCATGAAAACCCCAAATCCACAATCTCAGAAAATTAGATTATTACATGCAATCAATAAAACAAGGATTATACATAGAACAATATCGGACCTCTGAAAAGTACAAGCATGCATATGTACTCAGTACTTGGTTTGGGCCCCTTTTGCAGCACTTACTGCAATTACTTTTGCACGATATTCTAATTATTCGAGTTTCACCTGTATAGTATGAGCACAGTAAAGGCCTGTGTCGGCCGGCATATGATGCATGCCTTTGGCATCAGTCTGAGATGCTTCTGAGATCATTCAGCATTCATTTTAGGTGCATTTGACCTTCGTCAAGCTGCTTTGCATTCCCAAAGACTTGCATAAGAAGGGAGGCAGTTCTGAGGTGCACAAAAGCCCGTCAACAGAGTTAGTCTGGGAAGGATGTTAAAAGGAAGGTACTGAAATCTATGAGAGAAGCAAGACACACAGAAGGAAGACAGTGTGCTAACTGGCTCGACATCAAGGTGAACCAATCTTCTCACAAGGTCTTCCTTTTCCTTGAAGATTTACACTGCCCTGTTGCCACGTTCTTATTGGCTAGTTAGTTCATTTGTTCGATCAGGGAAACACTGACAATGAAAGCAAGGGCCAAAGAATAGAGGGGCTTCTCAGGTGCACAGGATTGAATATTAAATTCTAACAGAGGGTAGTTGTTGCACGTGTTTAAGCACAAAAGCAGTTTGCAAGCATGCAAATGGTGACAGGCTTACTTTAACTACTTGAAGAGCGGGGTAATAAACCCCGTCCTGGCCAGGTCATTTTTCAGCATACAGTGCTGCGGTACTTTGACATTTATTACGTCATGCAACGCTGTACCAAAATTAATTTTATATCATTTTTGGCCGGACAGATATAGATTTCTTTTGGTGGTATTTAATCACCACTGGGGTTTTTATTTGTTACTATATAAAAAAGGAAAAAAGTACTGGAAATTTTTTGGGGGAAAAAAACTGTTTTCCCTACGTTTTATTATGAAACATTTATTACCCAATTTTTTTTCCTTCAAATTGGGTAAATAGACACCAAACAGGTCAAGCACTAAAATTGCATGCACCCGCGAAAACGCAAAAAAATGACCATATCATAATTGGCCATGGGCGATGCTTTAAAAGCTTTTACCGATAATCAATTTAGTGTTAACAGTGATTGATGGCCATAGAAATACTACTTGCGCTCCGACATTCACGGTGATTTTTAACATGTGTGGCCCAATCGTCATTTCATGCGTAGGCCCCCCCTGGCGCTTATGTGTATGCGCCAGGGGGGACTTTTTTCTTTGATACATGCATACATGTGTATTTTTTACACTTAACTTTATTGCTAACAAGCCCCATATGTGATAGCACAGACACAGTGACAGGTCCTCCTTATTAAACCCCTAATGTCACCTAAGGACCCCAAAGATGCTAATAAAGCAGAGATCTGCTTCATGAGCTTCTTCTCCAGCTACAGCAGCCAGACAAATGATAGTCTGAAAGTGGAAGTGATTAAACTCACATCACTTTGCATTCAGTGATCAGAGGGGAGATCAGCCAGTGAAATGTGCTGATCTCCCCTCCAAGCCAACCACAGAGACCCGCTGTGCCAGAAGACAGCAGAGCCTGGGATAACCAGTAGCTGCGGCGGAGGGGCAACACTTCCAGCACCCCTCCCTCACCGTTCCCACACTATAAAAGTGATTGGGCAACTCTATAGCTACCCGAACGCTTGTATATTTCAAAGTCTTCAATTTGTCAACCTGCCCACCCATTCTAAAATAGCCATCACTCCAAGCTCGCTCTCGTGATAGATACAAATTAGTAAACTAAACATGAGATTATAGTCCATCATAGGAGTGAGCTTGGAGCGGTGACTACTCTATAACACACAAAGGGACCATGGGGAACAAAAGTAGCTACCCTCCAAAAGGAAGGACAGTGTCAGCACCAATTCAGAGATGAATTTGAGGATCTACAGCTGAGTGATACACAAATAAAGTACATTTCTGTTAATAGTTAGGCCTCATTTACACTGCCGCGCGTGTACGTGCGTATTGTACCATATGCAAATAAATGGCTCCATACACACAACCGCGTATGGAGCCATATATATTTGCGTAGCGTATATATGCGCAAAAACAGAATGGAACAGAGATGCGTCCGGGCAGCGTATTTCCGCGCACATACGCGTGTTTATGCGCATATACCAGCACATTATAATTCCATTACCAGTGATGCATTCTGGGATTGCATATAGTGCACGCATATACGCTCGTATATACGTGCATAGACGCAATATACAATTTTGCTTGCGTTGTGTGTGAATGAGGCCTTAAAAGGTTCTTGAATGCAATTTTAACTCCTAAGTTTAGTGTCACTAATATTTTCAAGTGCTGTGTTGTTTTTGCAATTTTTTCATTGTATGTTTTATATTAAAAAAAATTAAAAATAAAATTAAAGAAAAAAACATCTGATTTAAAAAAAAAAAAAAAAAAGAAGAAAATGTACTTTGTAAATCAGGTAATCCCACTGCTAACCTGATGTTCATCCCTTCTTTCCTCTGTGTTTCGGCCATTTGCTTGTGTAAGCGCAGTTGCCGCAGAAGCTCAGATTCCACTTGATTTTTTTTGTTTTGGAAAGTTGATGCAACAGCAGACACCGCAGCCTCCATTTCAGGACTCACCTCCTTTTCTCTAAAACACAAGAGGAAACAAGCATTACCAGCACTGACAACTTATTTGTGGGGAGAAATATTATGTAAATATCCTCCCAGATTGTTGGCAAATTTTTATCATAAACTGATTATCTGGTACAGCACAGATTGATTTTTAAATTGTGATAATTTTTAGTTTTTACAATAAACAAACCATCGTATGCCAAGATACATAAAATCTCAGGTGACATAGAGCTCTAGGTTTCCAAAAGTTGTCAAATCAATTCTTTAAGGTGAATTAGCAGAGTGTAGACTTGAATCAAAAATCCTGCATGTAATCAATAGGCTAAAAAGCCAAATGCACCCATTCCATAGGATACAACATACATGGGTTGATCAATAAATGTATGCATAGCATATATGGGGGGAAAAACATGAATATAATTGATTTTTATTTATTAGTTTTTACACCAAAATATGGTGTTGCAGCTAGTGATCTCACAGGGATCTCCAGGAAGATCCACAGAGTATCCCATATGATTAAAGGGGAAGTATTAGGAGAGTAAAACAAAAAAACTCTTCCCAATATTAAGAGCCAGTGTGCGACACTGCAGCTGTCACAAGTCGGCTCTATAGATCGAGAGCTGAACGATCACAAACCACTGATCACTCAGCTCACGGCGTCTCCCTGCACAAAGCAGTGACTATCAGTCATTCCTCCCTGCAGAGATTTCCCCCCTCCCATCTCTGTTCCTCCAGCACTCATTGGAGGGACAGACAGGGGAGTGGGCGGGCACCACTGGCTCTAGCTCTAGAGAGGCAGAGCCAGCTATCAAGCAGCGTGATGGATCCTAACAATATTGTCTGGATCTTCCCCAGCTGCAGTGCAGCTCTGCAGTGTTAGTAACCTGCTATATGCTGAGTTTTGGGTCACAGAAGTAGATTAGCAAATGTATTCCTGTGATTAAAAAGAGAACTAAAGTCAAAAAAGGTCTGGCTATTATTCTCTTTTAAAACATTTTTTTCCCAATTGAGAAGGTGAACCCTTTTTTCCTCCATTAGGGATCCCAGCCAGAGGAGATGAATAGAGAATGTTTGGCAGGCTTACTTTGGACAGTGTGTGTTTAACTTGTGTTAAAATTGAGAGCCAGAAATTCATTTTTAATCATTTAGTTTGAGCATTTTTATTTAAATATTTCCCTACTTGTGGGCACTAATGAAAGGGTTAGGGGTTGGACGGCCACTCAACCAGTTAACCAGGGAGAGAGCAGCCAATTACTTGTCCCCCCCAACGCAGATAGGATGCACATAAACTACCCCCTTGCCAGCTGATGGCAGATAGTCCAGCATTGCATGTGATTTCAGCACAGCAAGGATGTGGCTTCATGAGACCAGTCATCTGCTGGGGAACAACTATGAAAGAACAAGGATTTGGGTATTTTTGCCGGTATAGCCCCTTATACAGTTCTGCAGCCATACCACTGCTTAAATAAAAAAAACACCACACATTTATAAAGCACAGTGATGTGTTTTATGAATGTGTTCTGCACCAGGACTCTGAAGCTGGTGGAGCACAATATAAATGGATGGAAATGTTTAAAAAAAAAAAAAGTGGGGAGACCTGTCAAAGTCACATGACTGGCTCCAGTCCAATCATGGAGCTCTCTGTCTTCCATTGAGCAGAGAGAACTCCATGGAGCATCGCTGTCTACACGCTGCAGCCCAATGTTCATGAATAGGATAGACCACGGTGTGTGCTGTAGAGCTCAGTATAACGGAAAGCGTATATCGATATCTGCTCTCTGCTATAAATGAGAAGAAATAAGATGCTTGCTTTGTTTTTATTACCGGGATATTTTAGGTTGTATTTTCTTAGATAATTTAAAAAAAAAAAATAACTATTAACCACTTGAAGGCCATAGTGTTTCACCCCCTTCCTGGCCAGGCCATTTTTCAGTATTCAGCGCTGCCGTACTTTGACTGATGTTTATTCCGTCATGCAACGCTTTACTGAAACGATTTTCATACCATTTTTTGGGGACAGATAGAGCTTTCTTTTGGTGGCTTTTATTCACCACTGGGGTTTTTATTTTTTACTATATAACAAAAAAAGTACCCTAAATTTTTTTAAAAAACATGTTTCCCTATAAAATGTTATGAAACATTTTTTTTCACCCCAATTTTTTGGTAAAATATAAAAGTCGGGGTCACGTCGGGTAAATAGACACTAAACATGTCAACCTTTAAAATTGCGCGTGCCCGCAAAATCGCAGAAAACGACCGTGGGGGGGGGCGGCGCACACCCGCAGATCCTGCAAGCGATCGGGCGTCTCTAGAGACGCCTGACCGCTTGTATGTAAACAGCCATCGCTGGCTGTTTACATGCTGACGGTTTTCCCTCTCGTGTGCGGCGCTCAGCGCGGACACGAGAGGGGGGAGGGGCAGGACGTCTTAAGACGCCCTCCCGCTCTGAGCAGACGTCCATCTGGCCGTTCACAAACGGCCATGGACGTAAGGTAGTTAACGTATTTGTGTTACCACAAGTTACCTACCCCATCCATCAATTCACCACTTGTGGACATGACCACGTGGTTTATGGCTTAAGATGTCCCTGTAACCTCCTCTACATAGGACGCACGATACGCCCCCTCCGCAAACGCATAGGAGAACACAGAAGGTTCATTGAAAAGGGTGAATTTGAACACAACAAAAACATAAAACAACTTCAGGTCTTTATCATTGAACAGATCCCCAACCACCTATCCCCACCAGAAAGATTCCGCCAGCTTTGTGGACAGGAAACGTACTGGATTTACAAGCTGAATACACTGTCCCCACATGGTCATAATGAAGAAATAGAAATCAACACTGTCATTTGAAACATTTTCCTTTATCAAGTAACTGTACATCTCAGAAATTGCCTCCTATCCAGGACTCTAGGTTGTTTCCTCTCAACAAACACTTCATATTTGCCTCCATTCTGTACCCTAGGGAGATGGGGCCGCCCATCCACCTGCCCCCCCCTCCTCTCATAGGCCCACATGCAGGATCGCCTCCCTGATTCACGCCCACCTCTTGATCACCCCCTTCAAAAGTTTTCCCCGCCAATTCATTCACCTTCTCCCTGGCTTGAAAAAGAAGTCAGTGACTTCGAAACGCGTGGCCGCTTCACATTGCACACACCAGTCTTCACCCGACTCGTGCCCGTGTGTTTAGCCAGCGCTGGGCACGAACCGAGTGTCCCACACCTGCCTTCAGCAGTTTCTCCTCCACTACTGCTCGGCATTCCTGCAGTACATCTCCCTGCCACGAAGGAACCCTCGACGTCACCAGGAAACTCCTCGGACAGGTCCCCCAAGGGCATATCATCGCTCTGCCTCCTCACCACCCGCAACCACCAGGACAACAACAGACTGACATCCCTCCCAGCAACAAATCGCAACCAGGAATCTTTGAAAATTCAGAACCTACTGACTCCACCCCTCGCTGATGACTTCGCAACACTTCTTACCTAATGGTAAGTTTCTACATTTGTATTGATCTGCATTGTACAATATCCTCATCTCTGTACCACACATTTATGTTTTCTGGGACGAATCGGATCAATGTGGAGCTGTGAACAGGGCCAACTGATCGGAAGCCGATTAATCGATTATTGAAAAAGTTGACAACTTTTTCAATAATCGATTATAATCGATTATGTCGATTAGTTGTTGCAGCCCTACACTGAACATATCACTCGGACCCTGGAACTATAACTGGTCCTTATTCCAGCCCTCCCCCTCCTTTGCTTGGTTTGTAGCGCTTCTCTCCTCTTTGTTAATTTGATTCGCACAATTTTAACACATGACATCTCTGGCACCTATTTACTCGATGCACCCCATTTTTTATTTTAAAAAAAAATGGTTTTGGTGTTTGTGTGCACTAAAATTCATGTTACCATTTTTCCCTAAAAATATTTTCCCTAAAAATGTTTTCAGAAAATATATAATTGTTTGGGGGTTTAAAGTCATTTTCTATCCAAAAATTCAGATTTTAGCATGTGTGTGCAAAAATGTAAAAAAAATTTGATCCAGTACTAAGGTGGTCAATGCAGAGCCACAATCATCCATATCTTACATAAAAACTCTTTGGTACCATGATATTATTTTATTCCCTTATCTATAACTTACTCCTTAGGCTGCTTTGCTTTTGATGCCATCTGAAACGACTTGCTGGAACTTTCCAATCCTTCCATATTCTCCTTCACCATCAGTTGTTCCTTTTTCCAGTGCTTTTTTGGCTGTAACCTGCTCTTAGCACTCACTTCTACCTTCATGCCCTTTATGACATTTAACAAAGTGTCTCGTTTTGGTTGCTGGGAGGACTCTTCCTTGTGCGGCATGTCCATCTTTCCTTTTGCAGGTGTGTCAGAGCTGACATGTTTCTCTGGTGGCTTTTTTCCTTCTACAGCTGGGTCAGAGCTGATATGTACCTCAGGTGGCTTCTTTCCTTCTACAGCGGAGTCAGAGCTGATATGTACCTCAGGTGGCTTCTTTCCTTCTACAGCGGAGTCAGAGCTGACATGGGTCTCAGGTGGCTTCTTTCCTTCTACAGCGGGGTCAGAGCTGACATGGGTCTCAGATGGCTTCTTTCCTTCTACAGCGGGGTCAGAGCTGACTTGTGTCTCAGGTGGCTTCTTTTCAGAGGAGTGCGCACTTCCGAGAGAAAAGCACTTCAGAATGTGATCTGGATACCTACGAGAAAAATACTTTTCTGTGAAGCCTTATCAAGCATTTCTACAAATTCATAAGAAAATAATATTTGCATATATTTAATACATTGCATTAGTCATAAAAGGTCCATGAGTGGAAGTTTTTTTTAATGTGCAGATATGGCCTATGTCAACCTTGTACTTTATTTTTAGGTGCCGGACACTTGGTTCATTGCCCATTCCGAACACTTATCAACATGTTAACATTTACCCTTACCTGCCCCCTGACATGAGCCCTTATTACCTAATATTTTCTCTTATGCTAATGCTTACATCTTAACCTAAACCTTACATTAACCTTTAACATCTAACCCACTAGGGATGCACCGATACCGTTATTTTCGGTATCGATGAGTACCGATATTCTGCTTTCGGTACTCGCAGATACCCAGCACCGATACTGGTGCTTTCAGTGGCATGAAGGTGGCTTCTCTGGCAATCAGGAAGCCGGGTAGCATGGTGTTTGGCTAGCTCGATTGTGATTTTCCAGGACACCGGCTTCCCGGCCAATCAGGAAGCCAGGCGGCAAGTAATGACCTGCCTCCCGGCTTCCTGATTGCCAGCAATTTCAGATTAAACCTCATTTCATCCAAAAGTAGCCGTGTGTCCTCATCAGCCACCTTAAAGCCCATTTCCACCTTTGTAAGTGATTAGCATTTATTGTGGTAATGTAGAGGTGCAGTAATGGTGTACATGTGAGCACATTTTCATTACTCACATTGCTGGCTTTTTTTGTTTTTTAAGGACTTTTTTAGTTGGCCAGAGTTATAAAAATTGAACATTTTCTCCACAGGAAACTCAGTCTGACATTGGGGGTCGGATTGTAAAGCAGCTGACCCCCTCCCTCAGAGTCATTGTAACAGGATTGCTGCACACCAGCTCTGCCTTTCCAAGTCAATACAATGTATGGGGGGGATGCCACTATGCATACTAATGAATACGCGAGAGTGTGTTAATTTACACAGACTGCTTGCAGAGCACAGAGATGGCCATTTTAAAAAGGAGCCATGAGGGGATGAAGAGGACCAAAAAAAACAAAAATGTTTATGTGTTGTTATACAGCAACTGCATATGTCCGCTTCATGTAACTCAGTGTACATTGCTGGCATATTTTTTTTTTTTTTTTTTTAATAACTCCGCAAAGTTGGAAATTGGCTTTAAACAGTTTGTTACCATCACTAAAGTCACCATTGGTAAATTTGTAGACAGTGATCACGTCTTCTCTTAAACTCCTCCTCTCTAAGGTGGACAAATGTAATTTTTACTCAATCGTTCCTCGTAGTGGAGGTCCTCCAGCTTCCTATTAAACTTTGTTGTGAGTTAACATACACTGTCTAGGGGTTATGTGGAAGATTTTGGGATAAATCTGTGACTTAATTATAACTGAATGCTAAAACATATACAGGGCACGGTCTACAGGGTTTTTTTACACATAATAAATTCTTAGTCCACATTTATGCTATACTACACAACGTTCAGGCCGAACCACCCAAAATACCAATATACAGGGTTATTCACAAAAGGGTGAAGAGTTTGGAGAAGGTAGGAGAAGTGACCAATCTAGGACAACATAGCCGAACTGGAAAGTGAGCTGAATTGGAGAATTTTTCCAAATCAACTATGTTGTCCTAGAGTGTTCACTTCTCCCGCCTTCTCCAAACTCTTCACCCTTTTGTGAATAGCGCAGATAGATTACTATTCTGTCCTGGGTGTAGCTTAAAGGTAAAGTCCACTTTAAAAAAATAAATAAATGCAGATCTTTATAAAAGAAAAAATGTGCAGCTATTACTTTTTGCATGGGAGCCAGTAAAGCATTGCCACCGTGATTAGTGGATCGCTTGTGCAATGCTCTGGCTCCTTTAGAATCTTCCTCCCGACATTCTACAACATGGACGGGAGGAAGAATGAATGGACTACAAGTGCAGTGATGTCACCACACACGTACTCCATTAGGAACCAGAAGGCCCTCTGCCATGGTGGCTGATGGCACCAGTAGTTTCTCCATGCACAGGCTCTGTCAAAGGATCTGTGAATGGATGACGAGGCTGTGTGGGCGAAGCCTTGCAGAATAATAAAAAAAAACATCCAACAGCCTGCAGGTAGAAGAAGGTGGGAGGGTGATGGTGCTGTGACCATGTTGCATGTTACACCCTGGTGGGTGTAACATGAAACATGTTTAGAAAAGTAAACGTCACCTTTAAACATGACTGCTGGAGGTTCTGCCACCATAGCTGGCACACATGGGTTAGACTCCCTCCTCTCTTCTGTCACCCTAGCTGGAGACACAGCACCGTGGATCAGTCCCATGAGGCACTGCAAGACTCTGACAGGCATGACTCCCAGAAGCAGATGCACGATGGGATTTGTAATTAGGGAAACAGCTGGATGTTGTGAGACAATGGGGCTGATTTATTAAAGGAGGTTAGAATTTTCACACAATAAACTGTTGTTTTAGCTAGGAATGCACCAATATCGGTTTTTCGATATCGAGTACCGTCATCTTTTTTTCGGTTACTTACCGATACCGAGTACCAGTGCCGTGTGCCCAGATTATCAGGAAGCCAGGAAGTGGGTTTCCTGATTGCCTGCGAAGCCGTTGTTCTATCGAAAGAACAACGGTTTCACTTGCCAAGGCTGCCTGGCTTCCTGACCAGGAAGCCGGGCAGTGAGTCATGAAGTGCTGTCCGGCTTCCTGATTGGTCAGGAAGTCAGGCTGTCTAGCAACAAGTGAAAGCCGGCTTCCTAGCCAATCAAAGAGCTGGGCGGCATGTCATGACGCACCTCCCCACTTCCTCATTGGCTAGGAAGCCGGCTTCGCTTGTTGCTAGGCAGCTTGGCCACTTGACCAATCAGGAAGCCGGGAGGCAGCTCATGACGTGCCGCCCAGCTTCCTGATTAGTTAGGAAACTAGGCTGCCTAGTCAATCGGGAAGCCGGGTCATAACCCACCGCCTGGTTTCCTGATTGCAAAGGAAGCCAACTCCATGCTCGTTCAGCACTGCCAGTGACAGGGAGATCTCCCTCTGACCATTAGTTGCGGTACAGGAGCATTTAGACGAGTACTTGCCCAGATACTCAAAATCAATACTAGTATCCGTACATCCCTAGTTTTAGCAGAGGAGACAAAAACGCTTCCCCCCACCTTCTCTACCATAGTAATTAACAGCATACCTAACGCACAAAAGAGGTGCATGCACCGTTCTTAGCAACACAGCGCACCACTGCATTGCCATACATTGGGAAGGTGCGCTTCCTTGTCATTCAGATATGTATAGCACCGCAGTGAACCAATCCACCGCAATGCAATACTATGACTCTAGCCATGCTGGGAACACAGCCGGGTGCTAGGGATGGTGTACAGATGAGCAACATGGGACCCAGAAGAGGCAGCACCAGCAGACGGAGAGGCAAGCGATGGCTTTGATGTCATCAGCGGCGGATAGCAAGTACTGCTCTGCTTCAAGCGGAGAGGTGTTCTTTCAAGAGAACCTGTTATTTTGTCCTGAATGGATAAACTGACCCACTTTAAAGAGCACCTGTCATAGCAAAAGCCATTGTTGCCTGGCTGTGTCTGGCTCCTATACTTTTGAGTCAATGACCCAAAACACCAGCATATGGCAAATGAAAGTCGGAGACGAATAACCCCAGGACGTGACCGGGTTACACAGCATTGCCTGCAGCTCTCGGCCACTAGTGTGGCCCTTCTGAATGGGACACTGCTTGAACCCGGATTCTTTCCACCCTCCCGACCCGTACAGCAGACATCTGAGACACAATAAACTGTACCTGCTGGCGGTGAGAGCCCCAGCTGTACGTCCCCGGCCGCCCGCGTATAGGGTCAGCACAACCCTGCGGTACATTTCTGCTGCACAGCGTGACCCTGACCAGGGGGACAGCAAAGCAAGGAACACCGGCGTGACGGTTCAATCTCTGCTCCGTGCGGAAACAAGAGCTGAGCAAAAGCGTTCCTAGACGTATCTTGCACTGGGTTAGTTGGTGCAGAGAGGTCGTTTTTTACAACCTAGGAGCTAAATCAGTAAATAAAGGAGAACTTCTGTATTCCCGCTGTGTACAATCCACTGTCTTATATTGGCAAACGTTGTACAGTTATTTCACAGGACACTTACCTGCTCTGCTATGTGTTTGAGCTCAGGCATGGAAATATTCTACCCAGCCAATTCATTTATACTGAGATATAGGACAACCTTTTTTTAAGGAGCAAATCCTTTCAGCCAGAAGCTGTCCCTGGAAATGAGGCCTGTGTGTTAGGCCCCATTCAATCTGTTGCACTGCATTAGCACACACATGCATTAAAGAGGATCTAGACCCCAATTTAAAAGAGAAGTATGGGGTAAGTTCTCTTAAGGGTCACGGGAGGACATATTTTAACGACCTCCCGTGACCCAAAGCTCAGTAGTATATTGCGAGCTACAGCTCATGGTATACTGAGAATGCCGCAGTCGGGACGGATCCCGACATTACTGTCGGGACGGATCCCGACATTACTGTCGAGATCCACCCAGCTGCCTGAGTGACAGCAGGCTCTGCCTATCTAGAGCCAGAGCCAGCTGTACCCGCCCCTCCCCCATCCATTCCTCCACTCAGCGCTAGAGGGGAGGGGGGAATCCCTGCGGGGAGCCGTAACTGACAGTCACCGCTATCTGCAGGGAGATGATCAAGAAGTGAGCGATCGACGGTATGCGTTCACTCACTTCCCAATCTATTGAGCCAACGTGTGACAGCTTCATTGTCACACGTCGGCTCGAACTATGAAGGTGAGTGGTTTTCACTCACCTCAAAGTTCTCCTTTAACTTGTTTGCCGGGCTTCTATGATTTGTGAACATACCATTAATAGTGTATTCATATTCTATTATTGCTCATTCTTGAATTAAAATGTCATTCTGCAACACTTTGTTTCCCTTTATTTCCTCTTCCAGGGTCAGAGGGACAGAAAGCAATAGGACATCTCTCAAATTGAAGAAAGAGAAAGCAACAAGCACTCTTTTTTTAGTTGGGATGGTGGTGAAAAAAAGTTAGAATCTCTGTTAGGTTTTGATCACAGCAATAAAGCACAAAAAAAATAGTTTTCCTTTATTGTTTACCAAAACAGTTACTTTTAAGGCATGTCAACTGGCAAGGTTGTCAGTGTGCTTATTTCAGCTCTCAAACGAACTTTTAATCCTTAAGGCCTCATTCACACAGCGTAAAATCGGGCCGTACAGATCCGCGCTGCGTGCACGGCCGTATCGGGCCATTCCCGGAAGGGACAAGTGCTGCGTGTGATTGCACGCAGCAGCCTGTTCTTCCCTATGGGAGGATGCGGCTGTACGCTGTCATACGCACACCCAGGATCCATCCTGTCTGCGTCCTTGTATGGACACCCGTACAGATGTGCAGCTCGAGTTAGCTTATGGCCGCGTCCTTCCATAGAGAAGAACAGGCTGCTGTGTACAATCACACGCCGCACCTGTCGCTCCTGGGAACAGCCGTGCACGCCGCACGGATCTGTACAGCCCGACTACGCTGTGTGAATGAGGCCTAAGGCTCCGTTCACACATTAGCAGTTTTCTACGTGCGGAAACACGCAAAATATAAAAACAAATACATTCCAATGTAGCTTGTTTACATCTGCGCTGCACGAAAATGCGCATTGCACAAAACAGTACAATTGCGATATTCTGGGCGACTTCAACGCGTTCTGGCTTTAGTAGCTGCAAACGTGCAGAAACAGTGCGCAGGTTCAAATGTGTGCATTTTCATGCTGCACGCAAAACCGTGCTGCATTTCAAACTGCTATGTGTGAACGGAGCCTGTTCAGCACCATAGCAACTGCAATCCAAATAGAGGCCAAGATGGCACCTTCCTTGGCTGTAAGCTCCGCTCACACCTAGGCGTATTGTCGTAGCTGATTCTGTGCGACAAAACGCTTCACCCAAGGAATCTTATTCATTTCTATGGCCCCCGTTCACACCTGTGAGTTTTGTCGCAAGCAGAAATACACCTGTTGCTTGAAATAGTACATGAGCTACTTTTGGGCAGATTTCAGTGCGCTTTGTCCCTGTAGCCTCAATAGAAAATGGATAAGCGCATTGCGCTTATTGTTACGCGTGCAAAACCGCTAAAACAAGATGCATGTAACACGCATGTAATAGGTGTCACCTAGGTGTGACTGGATAGATTGGAGGGTGTAGTTCCACTTTAATGTACCTTTAAGGCAGCCCATTAATTTGAATAATATACCTAGAGGCTCCTTCACAGGGATGCAGAGGTCAGTACACCATATAAAACACTCGGATTTCTGCACCCAGAAGCCACAGGTGTTGCATACAGCCCATCTGTACAAATCCATGACAGGCAGTGACTGTACACTGATAAACAGTGCTCCGAGCGTATACTTGCGTACAGACACGGATGTACGTCACTGGACATAAACTGTTTACAGACTTTTTAAGTGATTAATTGGGGTGGGGGGCTAGCCCCCATATTAAACTTTGAGACCAAAAAATATCAGGCTAATAGGGATGTTAGATCCGGTAAGTGCCCACCTTCAAACAACTGTTAATACCGCTTCTTCTATGTGAGATCTAACACCAACAACAATTCATCTAACCTGATCTAACGCAGATCTAACGAACTGCATAAGTTCTGTTCAAAAATGTTGATTGGGTGGGGGGGGGCAAACCTGGCTGAGGTGCGACAATGCGTGCGTTACCATAACGTACATTATTGCAACATACATTAACGCACATTACATGTGTTAGCACATGATGGTGGAATTCATTTTGGTACAAAGTACATGCTCTGCTTGAACGGGCAACTGTTTAACGTACTAATTTTGTTAGACCAAGAAGTATAACTACCATTGCACTGGGGCCCTAAAAGACATCAGGATCTAGAAGAATTAATGATGTGTCTGGAACCCTGAAACTCCATGTGTAGAGCATATACAGTATTATACAATAGCTTACAGACTACTAAGGAAAGTTCACATTCCCGTGCCAGATGAGCTTACAATTGAATGCCCCTACCGCAGTCATACATGTGCAAACACATCCACACCCTAGGTTAGTCTTGGTTACAAGTCAGCTAATCTACCAGTATGTGTTTGCATGGTGGGAGAAGAAAGCCCATACAAACACCACACAGTTAGAGCCCTGGTAGGACCTTAAGCCTGGACTCTAGCAGTGCGAGACAAGAATGCTAAACACCAAATATGCAATAAGGAATTACATTAAACTCACGGAACATGGACTTTCTAGAAGACTTGTTAGGTCACAAATACTGTTTATCTTATGCTACTGCATTGGAAGTCTATTCAGGCCCCCAAGCTTAAAGTTTACCCCCTCCTTGACTAAAAATCACATCAGCATGCAGCTCTGCATGCTGATATGAAATAATCTTGCATTCATTTGTTAAACAAGCATATTTTTCATTTAATTACAAATTCAGTTTATCCACTTCCTGGTCCTCTTGAGCACATGTGATGTAATCATGCCCAAGCATTGTATCCTGGGAAGGTTACATCAGCAGAGCATTGCTGGGAAATCTCATCTGTAATCTCATGAGATCTCAGGGAAAGGCATTTTCCTCCCCTGAGATGATGCACATGGTCACATGGCCTAGTCACATCTTTCCAGAGTTTCAGGAAGTAAAGGGAAATATATTAATCTGCCCTTATTAAAAATGGCCACTGTGGTCAACATTTCTGAGACCTTTCTCCCTGGTCAGTCATAAAAGGCTATGTTGCAGACTAACTTGCCCTTGACCACAATATTGCTTTGCCTAGTGCTGATGGTCATGGAACTCTGCAGGCACCATCAGATGGGAAGTCTATCAGCCACAGCTCAAGGAACCCCTAGCAACCTCTGGAGGAACCCTAAGATTGAAAGAAACCCTGGTTGAGAATAGTTGCCCTAAATATTCATAAATTAATGTAATATTTTCTGATATTTTGTTTCATTTTGTGTTTCATTTTGTACTACCCAATCCGTGAAAAAAGAAAAGACGTTTTGGGCACAGGTCTACTTTATCTTTTTTGTCTTAGTGGTGTCGCAATAGATGTGATGGTACTAGGATCTTTCCACGCTGCCTACTCCCTGTCCTCAGGCTCTCTTTCTAACTGTGACATGAAGACGAGGAGGAGCTTGTATGCAACATGGGTTATAGGAAAAAAGAAAATCAGAGAGCTGGACTGCAGTTGTGAAGAATAGCAGCAGCACGAGAGGCAAAAGGTAATTGTAAAGTCATAAAGCAGTTAAATAATGACTGAAAACAAAAAGAAAAATAGTGATTCCAAGGACATATAGTTTTCCAGCTCTCCAAATGTCAGCAGGGGATTTTCTGAAGCCCAAAAACTCAGCAGTGAGTGCCTTTATTCTGTTCTGTTTTACACAGTTCTACCCGAAATCTGGTATTGGTACCAATTACTAAAAAAAAAAATGGCTGTGTTCCCCACCTCCTGTAAATATGTTCAGTAATTGGGCAATAAGCACTATGCAAAGCAATAGAGCCATTCACTTACTGTCAATAGCTACAACAGGGAGTGAGAGAAAATCCCTCCAAAGAGAAGGAAATCTCTGGTGGTCAGCAGGGTTGCCAGAACAGGTCTTCCTATTGGAAGATTTCCCATATACCGGTATTCATGTTCTAGTGACAACCCAAAATTTGGGATTTTCTTTTACTTTCAGTGATAACAGTCACCAGGACAAATAGAGGGGCTGAAAAACCTGACGTGTTCTAATCCCTCTCCACTCTATCCACAACGAATAAAAAAAAGTTTGCACTTTAAATGGTGTATTTTTTAATGATTTGCTTGGACAAAATTTGCTGACTTCTCCTTCTAAAAATACATGTTGCCTGACTGTCATTCTGAACGTTTTTCTTCAGTGCTTTTACTGACCCCACTAAACTGAATACCAAGGCTATAGAATTATTGAGGCCTGAAGGTCAACATCACAGCCCGG